TTTATATTCTGGGGTTATAGCAGTATCCTGCATACTTCTGGTGACAAACGTGTTAAAAACAAAAAAATGCCAGCAACTGTGGTAAAAAATGTAGTCAGGAGAAATACAACTCAAAGAAGAGGTACGTGCTGCACTTTTTATTCACTTCTCAAATCACAGAATCATTTAGGTTGGAAGGGACCTCCAAGATCATCAAGTTCTCAATAGCCAGCCCTGAGCACTCCTGTTTCTTTAGTCCAAGTCCAACTCCCGTGATTTCTTTAGTTCCGTTAGACCTCAAACCAGGAACTGTTCACATGGGAGCAGTTACTGTGATGGTCAAAATGTGCTTGCAGAACCTGAAATGTATGAAAGGCCTTGGAATAGAAGTGTGGAAGATGTGTTCCCACAATTAAGAAGTTTAAGTTTTTCAGCTCAACAGCCATCTTCCTGATAGCTATTACTGTTATCAGAATCTTTAGAAGGCTGATCATCTCCTAACCAGCTAATGCAGATCTTTTTTTAACATTTTTTTTAATTTTTATTTTTATTTTTATTTTTTAATGTGTGCTGTTAATGGTATTGCTTAGAACTGATTTGGGGGAAAACACAGAAGGACATTGCTTGTATCATAAGCCAGAGTCATAAAGCATTTATTTTTCACATGATTCATCTGTGGGGGAAGGTTCATGGTTCATTGCATACATTGTGGGAACAACTGTTTGTACAAGCTGACTTTCTTCCCACCTTGCCCCTGCTCCTTCGTGTGACCACGTGTGCATATTGCCACGATGGCAAGTTGTAAACTGCTGCTGAGACATTGGGCTGAGCGGTTTGTATCGTTACAGGCCAGTCAAAATTACAGGCTAACGAGTGAGTAGCCTTTTAAAACCCACAAAAGACTGGAAATTATAAGCACTTAGTAACAGTTTGGGGATTAAATAAAAAAAGCCTTAGGAGCACGAGAGATGGTAATAATTCTTTTGTTCTTGCTCAGCCTATCATTTTTAAACCTGTATGCTGTCACTTCATCTGTGCCTCTGTAACGTACCCCTGAATAAGCGAACAGCTGATGCTGACTTCACTACTGCATCTATGGAGGTTTGAGATATCTCAAAGGATAGTGACACGGAAGAGTGAAACACAATTACCACCAACTTCCAGCTTTCCAGACTTTCATGTAATGAAAGGATGTGCTGTCCTCTGAAGCTGGAAGATACGTCTTCCACCATGTCTTCTCTTTAACTCTACCTTGAAATCAGGTTGCAGGAAAACAGAGCTGTTAATGCCAGAGAATACCAACGTACTGGGTAAAGCACGTAACAATTTGTTCTTCCATGGAGTATCCACCTGAAACACTACGATTTTTATCCTCTGGCTTTGGGAGTTAAGGTTTTATGTAACACTTGCACTAACCGAGGCTTTTGCAGAATAAAGAGCATTTAATTACCAGCTCGGAAGTAGTGTTACCAGATGTGCTGGAACATAAAAGACCCGCAAAGAGGTCTGTGTAAGGCGAAGGCGTTAGCCTGGCCGGCAGCGCCACCGCCAGGGACGTGACCGCCGAAAAAAAGGCTCCGCGACACCTTACGGTGCACAGACGCAGACGCGTTTCTCTATCACCTGCAGGAAAGCAATGAGCTTTATGAAGAATTAATGCGAGTAATTTCGCAGAACAGAGAGACTGAGAACAACGGTGTGCCTTTGTACCAGGTACCCACAGGCAAACGCGTTCAAAACACAAGGCTAGACAAGATGCTCCTCACTGCAAGAGGCACTTCAGCGGCAGCAGAAGTTTGCAAACAACTGAATCCAATTAATCCCTTAGTCTCCAGTCACTAGGCACGTGGCAAATGACAGCATGTCTTGCTGATCAAGGAATACACATTTCAAAACATTGAACATCCGACATTCAAAAAGTCTTTGCCAAGCCACTGTTTTACTCAAGAATTTAATTCTACGCGGTTGAGGTATTTTACCCATAAGTAAGCCTTTAAAACTTTTGTCCTCTTCCACACAGGAATGTAAGAGTTCACACCTGAGCAATGCACACCCAACACACGGGTGCAGCATCAATGTGGCAAATGATTCAGAAGACAATCCAGCCAAAGAGGTCTTCCGTACTTTACGCTATTTTTTTACATAGCTCCTGTTGAGACCGACGCAGAGAGCAGGATGGATCAGCACAGGCTAGTGAATCTTGAGTGCGGTAGCCGTGCATGTATTTTGTACAGAAACACACACAGCTGCCGCAGATTAAGAGTTCTGGCAGCCGCGTGGTTTTGAACCCAGAGCACAACGACAGAGAAGCCGTAAGAGAACAACACGTTATCATATGAACGGGTTGGTCTGCTAGTACTGAAAGGGAACAACAGCGCTTTCCCCAGTGATTAAAGACATGCCTGCAGGGCAGCTATTTGCAGAAACTCAAGCTGAGACCTACTATTGACCCTGGTTCCCGAAAACAGTTGCTGTACCAGCTCTGCTGTTAGGAACTGCAGCTCACAGCCTGCAAGTCTGATTTTTCAGAATTCATTAAAAAAGCAATTGCTGTTTGTTAGTAAAAAATGACATTAGTAGAACTTGCATTTTTCTTCAGCTAACAATATGGCATAAAGCAAGGAAGTTCCTTGCAAGACTGTTCCCATCAAGGTCGTTTCACAGTAAGCAATACTGTGGTAACGAATGAATTATTGATCATGTGTCATTTAACACTTTTTATTCACTGGTGTTACACACTCAGTGGTAATTAAGTTTATGCAACACTGGAAGCTGCTGATGGAATCTGTATTAAAACTGCAAGTTCCATTATGTGGAACATACCAGTAGCTTCAAGACACATTTTACCAGTTCTCAAATTGCTTTCCATGGGTGAGATAACCCCGTGACAGCTAATCCAGTTTACTATCTCCTGAGCAGTCTTCCAGAATTAAAGAAGAAATTGAGAAACGGGGTGCTCACGGTATCTTTAAACCTCCTTAGTTTAATACTTTGTCTGAATCATAACTGCTTACAGGCACCTAAATCCCTGTCAAAACCTATTATAATCTCCAGCTGCCTTTAAAAGGCATTTTCCCTGGATCCACTTAACTGGAAGTCATTCACCTTGTCAATTCAGGTAGGATTCTTCAGCAACAGGTAACTTAATAAACAGAAGGGTGGAGCAGAGCAAACTACAAAAATCACCTCAGGAATTCAAAGCTGCCTGGGAAGCAAAGTACTACTATTAGCTGCTGTGATGCTCCACTAGCAGTCCAGTGACAATGCACATAGCACTATCTCTGGAATAGTAATTCATATACTCAGCAACAGTCAGGAGAAATTCATCATCTGCTTACACAGAGCCACTTACTTGCCTACATAAGTGGATGTGATGCATTTACTCATAATACACAGAGGTAGTTACACAAATATTTCAAGGTGAGTCCTCTGTAAGGCTACTCGAAGTTTATGTTGAAGAAGGGATTGTCATACATCAAAATGTCAATGTCAGCTTAAAACAGAAAAAAAAAAAGTTTAGTGTGCTTGCTATATAGTCACCCTCTTGATTACATTCCTACATTTTTTCCATTCCCTCTCATTTTCAGATAATGATTTGAAGACCAGTAAAACATAGGATCATTCTGGTTGGAAGAGACCTTCGAGATGGTCATGTCCAACATTAATCCAGCACTGCCAGGTCCCCACATCACTCACCTTCCTGTTTTTGTTCCATGCCATAGCCCGAGTTCACATATCCAAAGCCAGATGACAAAGTTAACCTTATGCCTGTAAATTAAACCACCAGACTTGTGAAATTATTTTCTCCAAAAAGATGCCTTCATTTTCTAAAAGAGGTGTGACATACTGAGGCTACCCAAAACCTATCAATAAGCAGCAAGAGGAAAGAGAGAAGTTCTTGGCCTCATTTTTCGTTGTTGAGTTTCGTAGTAACATGGAATGCCACAGAACGCTGTTAAAGAATACAGCTTCTTTAAGTTTTGCCATTTTTCAGAGTAGATAAATTTGGAAACTGGACTGTTTCTTTGCCCTCTGTCTGCTTATGATTTATTTGTCTGCTTTGGCGATTTCAGTTCTTTCTGTGTGCACATAGCACAACACTTTTGCATTAAATGTGTTTCCCAATTAAATGGCCAAGCACAAAGTGCAGGACAGAGTTCACCTGTCTGTTAAGGGGCTCAGGAGGAAAAAACTTTGCACTTCAACAGGAAAAAATGTCTGCCTACTGTTTACTGTATAGTGATACCCAAAATACTTTCTACAATACAGATGTAAAATTTCTAACACTGTTTATTTTAAAACTCAATATTAAGGTGAATGAAACCAGCCAATATCATGGTGTTGCTAAGAAGAGCATAGTAGCACCATGGCTTTTCTCACGCTGGACTCTGAGCAAGGCTCCTAAATGAGCTGCTATAGTCTTTAGTGGCTATGAGTAACCCCCAGCTAAGGGGAAACACACATATTCCCTTGCAAATTCCCTCTGGAAGCATTCTTCACCTGGTTTGGTTGTGGGGTGTCACAAGGGCTGTGACATCCTAAATTGGCTCTGACTCCTTCTACCATTAAGAGGAGGTTCCAAGAAACTGCAGCAGCCAGCCCTTGGTCTTACCCCTCAGACAAGGTGAAAGTCTCATTTCTGAAGGAGATGCAGGAAAACTAAAGTGGTTCTTTTAGCCCAGTAATAATTCTCCCAACTAGCAGCTCAGTGTGTGAAAATGAACAATCAGCTGAATGTTCCTGCTTCAGAAAAATGAAAAACGCTAGAATCCCAAGGTATCTCACAAAATGTACCTTTATTTACGTGCAGAAAAGAAGCCCTGTACTGCCCACCCCCCACAGCAGCAGTTACAGCTGTAGGAAACCCAGCACATAGTTTTGAAGCACAGACGTACTCGCTGGAAACAGGAGCTAACAGTGGGGAGGCAGGGGGTACAGACCAGGTTGATACTGAAATACAGTGATAAGGCAACAGATTATCCAGGCCACATGAATACAGGTTTGTTAGTTTCAGCCACCCTCCCTTTTTCCCAAAGACCACATATTTCTCATTCGAAGACTGAAGTAGTAACTTCATACGCTGAAAGTAAAGCAATTTTAGAGTAGCTGATTTTTTGACAGAATTAGTATCTTTGCTGCAGGTACGTTTCAGATAATTGATTTTCTTCACCATCAGGCTTAGAAGGTGCTTGGTTCTGAAATGCTGAGAGACTTCGTGGCACAGCCACTCATAAGGCTGTTACTGAAACTTGATTCCTTGAGCCAAAGGCAAATCCTTGCTGTAGTTGATTGTACTGGAAGAGAAACAACCATTTAGAGACCAGACTGATCACTGAGAGAGATTATGCAGTCTATTTCCTACGTACAAGGCTTCTGATTTCTGTCCCATGCACACCAAAGGCTTCTCTAAGCAGTTTGTGTATTTAAGGTTACAAATTGACTACTCCAGTTTTCAGTAGAGTAACTATGTACAGGAAAAGACGACACTCCCCATTATCTCTTCCTTGATAAATCAACAAGAAAGTAGTTTCCTATTTAATGTCTTACTAGGAAGAATGTCCATGCAGGAAAATCAAGGTGAGATTTCTCACATTCATAAGCCTTTGCATGGAGACTAAACTTATCACAGGTAAAGGCTAGGGAAGCCAGCAGGGGGTGGGAATGCCCAACCACTACAGGCTGCTCACAAGATATATGGATGGATACCCAACATGTAGCTACATCACCCTCCACTGGAAACCGTGGTCCACTCACTGGCTGTCACTTCATGTACTTCCTGACACATTTCAGTAATTTAATTTTAGCCGAGTTTAAATTCAAGCAAGAGGGGAAAAAAAAGCGATTATGAGCAAGCAAGGTCTTTATCTAGACCCCTCTTATCACCCTTCTCCTGGAAAGATTCTTGCATGAAAAAAAGGCAATTACGCTCATACACGGTTATCTCACATTTACTGAAGATAATATTCTGTAGTCAAGGACTTAATTTGAACTCTAGTATGCTTGTTTGTAATTTACATTTATTAAAAAGTCTGCCTTACCAAGTAGACCGTCTCATATAAAGTTTCCACGAATCACTTCCAGATTCTCTTCCCCCGCCAGTGTGCTTTTCACCACCTGTAAGAAGAAGCTTGTAAATTAAAATCTGAATTTTTTGAGTATGGGCATCTGCACTAACTCCAGGAGCTAAGAAAATTTAGGAAAATTCATTGGAAAGACTATTCTTTTGCCCTTGTTCTACATCTGAAATAAACTAACAGAACACATTCAACTCACATAGCTAGCTCCCCCTTCATGCTTGATCCAAAAAGCACCTGCCTGGAGTTGGAAGTCTCACCCTGCTGCCAACAGAGGACTTTGTTTTAAAGATATTTTGTTTTAACATGAGACAAGAGTACATGAATGGGCTGGTTCTTCTGCTATTTAAACGAGTATTTCTTTTTCCATTCCCCCAACTCCTTCAGTATATAAAGCAAAAAAAGACCTTCTCACAAAAATACTTGATGCTGTAATTTTTATTTATGCATCTGAACATACACAACAAAAATGCTCAAGATTTTTCAATTAAAACTATTTTAACCAGTTGTCCTCTCAACCACATCTCTAAACACATTCAGAATGTAATTCTGAGTTACACTCCCCTGAAACGGGGCAGGGAATGATATATGGAATGTTTAAAAACCAAATGCCAGTACTTTTTAAAAGCGGAATTTCAACTAACTCCAGTCAATTTGTTTTCTGCTGAAGCAGTATAATGCAAAATTAACTTCATTGTTTTTTTGAGATTTAGTCATTTAAATGCACTGATTAAAAGCTTGAAACATAATATGAGATAACAAATTATACTAGCTTTGCAGTGGTAATGCTTCATTCTCTTCTAGAGTCATTAAAAAAAAAAAAAAATCACCTCAGCTTTAAGAAAAAAAAAAAAATTAAGCCTGAGGAGTAACACCAAGTTTCTAGACCTGACGCTAGAAGATTTCATCATTTAAAGGATAAAGAAAAAAGCATAGGTAACATACCAAAAGCACCTCCAATCTCAGCCCCACTGGTTGGGATGTTGACATTCACAATGCCACAGTCAGACCCCTTTGGCCTACAAAGATAAGACACAATTACTCCTCAGGATCGGGAAAGGCTCCTTCCCTAAAATGAGGACTATAAAATGCCCAGCTAGCACTGTGCATAGGTTCACAAACAATACAAAAAACTGTCATCTTAAGCTTCAGGTAGGTAGAAAAAAAAAATTATACCCAAGCCAGCGGAAAATCCTTCCCAAATCCTTGGTAAAGATACTGCTGGAAAGACCTTGTTTTACTTCGTTATTCCAGGCAAAAACCTCCTCTTCTTCCTAAAAGGAGCGTTGTCAATGGTTGAACTGTGACTGTTTAAAACACGGCAGTTAGGAAGAAGCAGTGTGACAAAAGCACACCACAGGCACAATGCAAACGCACTGAACGCCACTGGGCAAACACACATGCACCAAGTCAGGGGTAGGACACCTCCCTCCACCACTGCACAGAACACACAAAGTTGGTCAGTTTTTAACTACCACTTCCTCCAAGCTCAAGATAGG